CTGTATTTACTGTTTATAAAAGTTCAGAGCAGGATGAGTGGACTTCACAGTTTCACACTAACAGTTTGTTTCTGACCTCACAGCTCCTGACAGCAGCTCTGAGCTCTCTGAGAAACTCAATCCAGAAACCTGACTGACAAAAAGAGTAAACACTCTGATATCTGTTATATCATAACTTTACAAAGCTTTACAAATAACGACTGAAAGATGGCTTCTTGCAATCAGAATGGAATGGTTATGATTCATATGCTTGATATTCAAACATTAAATGTAATAAATTTATTCCAGATCACAAATTTTTAATGTTTTACATACAGTATGTCAGATTTTTCTATTAATCTTTATTTTCTCACTTATTTTACTGTGATGCAACAAAGTGTTTCCTGTTTCTAAGAATGCTAAATAAATGTTTTTGATTATATTGTAATATTTTATGGCTTCAGAATAAATGAATTGCAGGTTTCTGTCAACATGTAGAGACTGAATGCAGTGATAAAAATCACCTCTTGTGGTGGATTAGACAGGACAGGGGAAGGGATATGATTCATGAAAAGTTTACCACAGGGGTTGCTAACTAGTAGCTACAGGTAAGACTGGAGGAACCACATAGATAGAGATGGTGGCTGGACAGATGAGCGGACCACGGCAGTCATGAAGTTACCTGTTGAGTCAGTTGGGCCAGCTACTGTAGTTTAGCCTGAGCAGATATGATAAAGAGAAGAGTTTCAGCTCTTTGCTTGGGTGAGTGAAGGATTTAAAGGCAGCTTAAAGATACATTAAGTCAGGGTTAGAAAATGGTGTCGCCTGTCAGAGAGCTCAGATTTATAACGCCACAGCTAACCTAGGACCTAATGAAAGGTCAGTCATGATTTAACATGAATACTGGGCTTCCATAGGAATCCACACAACCTCTGGCACATTGTCCTGTGTACTGATAACCATAAATGAATGTGAAAATCAAATGTATTGCTCTTTCTTTTGGTGCTGATATTTTGCTTTTCAATAAAGTCTCCAATTTTCAAACGTTTGTCTTGAGTCTACTCATCTGTGACTATAGCTGCAGTAATATGAATATTACCTGAGCATTCAGTGTTCTTACAAAAGAGTTGGATTAAAAGACTGATATCATTGTCAGCTCTGAGCAGAGGAAGCTCCCGGACAAGCTTAGCTTAGTATGAACACAGAGTCAGGAGGAAACAGCTCACCAGTAGCTCTGTGGACTAGAAAAGTCCACTCAGCAGAGAGCAGATATCTGTGTGAAACTTCAGGTGTCAGAGTCACGTGGATTTCCTCATTTGCCACCTGCTCCATTTCCCAACTTTTGTTTCCTCCACCCAAAGTTCACACTGTTTTCATACAGCATAGCTACACTGACAGAACTGAACCTCCGACCTGCCTGTCAAACAGGAATCAAACCATAAACCTGCTTCAGACAGTCCAGACTGAGTGGAGTCCTGTGGGGATCAACAGATGTGAAGTCTGGCAGCTGGCGGTTGCTCGCTCTGCCGAAGTTCAGTGGCTAACAACCAGAGCTAGCTGCTAATAGCCAACACTACCAACAAACTCCAAAAATCTATTCAACAACTCCACCCTCCACAGTCAGACACACGCTGCTCATTTACTGACAAACTGCAGCTCACATCTTGTGCTAACAGCTGACACTGCTCTGGTGTGAGCGTTTTGCAGGTTAGCAAAACATCCTGGTGGTTGCCATCTATAGGCGCTCTGATCTCATTCCACTCAAACAGTATCAGAAAATATAATTCAAGCATGACCTGGCTTACTAGTTTTAAACATTTGTCCAAAACATTTCATGAAATAATTTATCATTTCGTTATTTTGAACGTCCGATAGATCAACACTAACATTTTAGTGTACCGTCTCGTTTCGTCAGTGAAAATAACACATACAGTTTGTCCTAGATTTTATCGAATATCTTTCTTTTACCTCCTCAGTGTATCATCTTTTTTTTTTTTGTCTTCTTTTTTGTCTTTAATGTATAGGACAGAGTGAAATGGGGTGAGAGAGAGAGCGGGGGGTGACATGCAGTAAATGGTTGCAAGCCGGACTCAAACCTGCGACGACTGCGTCGGGGCATTGCCTCTATATATGGGGCGCCGGCACTATCCACTACACTACAGATGTACCATATCATCTTTGTCATGAGAAAAGGGTTGTTGGCAAATATTTGTTGTCATTGTTTTTGTCAACAAAATGAACACTGATGACAGATCATTTTAGTAATAACATATTAAAACAACTGTTCATACATACCATTATTTTTTTTCAGTTTAAAAGAAAACCTTATACCTGCCTATTTCCTTGTTTGCTTTGATCATTGAGGTAAATTTGCATCTCTACAGTCTGTGCATTGTTGTTGTTGTTGTTGTCGTTGTTGTTTTGTCTTGTCAATTCTATTGAGTTTTAGTTCTCATTTTATTTAATTTATTTTATTTTATGTTAAATGAAACGGGAGAATCATCCCCCCTCCCCACCCCAGTAAGTTTCATACAGTCCTTAATTTAGTTGTGTCAGAACAGAGACACTCCCTCCTCCCAGTGCCAGTAAAAAGCAGAACAAACACCTGAGCCAGGTCGGTCACCTGTTGATCAAAACAAGACGAAAAATCTACTATTGCTACTTCTCTGTCACATTTCGTCATCAGGTGAGATCACACTGTGAATATTTGCTTCACTTTCCACTGGGCTCTGTATTTTGTTCCTGCGTAGCTCCAGGACACATTTGTTTAGTTTCACTTTCACTACTACAGTACTTTAGAATTTGGTAAGACTATAACTTTAAAATGGATTATACTGAATATCAGGCACATGCACAGATAGACCCCAGGTGGTGCTCAAGAACCTGCCCTTTTGCCCTCTGACCAAATGAGTGCCATTTTTTGTGAGACATTTATTTTCTATTTCTTTTTCTTATTTAATATTTTACTTTTTTAAAATTGGTCCATGGCATAAATTTTCTATTAAAAGCGTGATGTAAGCCTGACAACCTCATTTGAGATTTAACTGTGCCCTCTTTTTTGCTTGAGCACCCACCCCCAAAAATGAAAAGTGTTTTGCAATCCTGCCCACATATCTTCAAAGCCAGGATGGACAACTTGAAGCAGCACTTCAACCAAAGTGGAGGTACAGCTTGTATTTCACTCTTACTGTTAAAGTGCTCTGTGTCTTAGCTGTAAAGTAAAGTGACCCAAAATCATTCCCACAGTAAAAAACATCAAAAGTCAAACCAAATAAGTGCACTCAGTAGAGTACTGGTTCTCAACCTGGGGGTCGGGGCCCTCATTATGGGACGCCAAAGCTTCACGGGGGTCACGAGGCCTTCTTGATGAACAGGGTTGTAAGAAAACGTTTCTTTTAAATATACAGTAGGCCTTTATCTCAGCATTTCATTCATTTCTGTGAAGAAAAGTAAATTAAATGTTATTTAAAGTTTAGATTATGATTCATGTTATAAACGCACTGTAAAGACCTGAACAGAAGCTACACTGCTTATTAAAATGAAGGGAACACCTAAATCACACATCAGATCTTGATGAACAAATTATTCAAGTTGAAAATCTTTACTGATGTACATTGTTTAATTTGTTGAGAACAAAATGACATAACAACTGAAAACCAAAATGGAAACCAAAATCATCAACCCACTGAGGGTCAAAGTAAAAATTTGGAATCACAGGCTGATCCAACTTCCGAGAATTTTATCACGGCAACTCTGCATGTGACTCAGTAGTGCGTGGCTGTATTAACTTCTGATAACTCTGGGCATGCTCCTGATGAGTCGGAGGATGGTGTCCTGGGGGATCTCCTCCCAGACCTGGATCAGGGCATATGAGCCTGGCTGCATCGGATGCACCGATACATAA